AAAATATATACATTAAATAATTGTGTTCGTGAAATATTTCGTCGTAAATAAATACATCATCAACACTTATCGGAATATCGTTAGGTATAAATTTTTACTCATCCATTATTCATACGTAATATATACGTATTTGTTTTAGAGGTTTTTTTTTTTTTTTTTTTTTGCTTTGAGGCTTATTATATTATAAATAACGCACAGCAACTATCCTCCGTCCGTCAAGTTATAATATTTCGATATCGTTGTTATTAAAAATATGCCTACGCCTTTTCGATTAATTCTAGAGTGGTATTTTTATAAAAAAAAAAATAACAATAATAATAATATTATTGGACCGATATTATAAACACCTACAGTAACTAGTCAATTATTTCAGTAAAAAAAAAAAAAATAGCGCGAATTCGTGCCTATATATATTATAATATACACGAATAGATTTGTGATTTTAGAGCCGGAGGCGCATTTGTCTATATCTATTATGTATTCACAATAGTAATATGGACGTCCTTGTTAATAAAATTGGACTCGCGTGAAGCGGAACAATCCAAACGCGATTAGATAGGTAGGGGATTTGTGTTTCGAAATGGTAAATATTATTATTTATGCGTTCGGCCAATTATTATTCTTGTAAAATAATTTCGCGTGTTTATTACCGATTTCCCAACGTACAATTAATTATTCGTATCGCACCAGGCATTACAATATGCCTATAAGCATAATCGTTCGATAAATTTAATTTCATCGATAATACACGGGCGGTGGCGTGTGCGGTACATTGAGCCTTCATGTGTTATTATTATTATTGTTATTATTATTATTATACCGTCATTATATATTACCATACAGGCGAAATGAAAATAACAATGATGATAAGATTAAAAAAAAACGTATAGAACGATTGATGACGACGATGATGATGATGATGGTGGTCATCGAACGCGTCCGATTTCGAATGGGTCGGCGGCAAACGACGATTAACGTTTGAACGAAACCCGTCCTCGTCTTTTACATCATCAAAAATCTCAGCTGTGTGTTATATAGGTAGTGCATATTATTAGGAGGAAATCGGAGGAATGGAAAAAAAAAAAACCCAGCGGAATTGGACGAAATGATGAGACAGGTGAGCGAGAGACATCCCTGCGGGACTCCAGACGTAACAATTATATTATTATTGTGTAAGTAGGTATCTGCAGTAATACAGACGATCATGTCCGACGTGCCCATCACAGACCTGCATCCCGGGGTCCGTGTAACGACAATCGTCAGCTAGGTAACGTGTAATTTAAAAAAAAAAATGAGAATAATATTAGCCGATGTATTAGATTCTGAATGAAGCGAGGAATGTGTAGGTTTTACTGTGTGTTTGTGTGTGTGTGTGTGTGTGTACTAGAAATCCTACCTCAACCAAAGACTTGATAAGACTTTAAACTAGTTGGTGCGCTGAGGCGATAATTTTGTTTGTATAATTTTTGTTGATTTCTGGGTTACCTTGACAATAAGAGAAAAATACAACTACTAATAATTTGCTCAGAATCGGTTTACGTTAACAATGATTATGGAAATTGGGTCTAAATATAAATAAAATTATTCAATATATCCTCCCTTATAACTTCCCACCTAAAACAGTGACACACCCATTATCATTATGTTACCTAGTAATTTTTGGTTTTATTTGTATTGTGTTTTTTTTATATCTGTATGGTTTTCCTTGTAGTTTTCTTAATAATTGAGAAAACGGCGGGAAAATATTTATAGAAAAGCTATGAACATTTATGGCAATAAAACGATTTTCGTTAGTTCGATTTGGTTTTTTTTTTGTAATTTGGTTAACAGGTTAACTGCCATGCCTTTTTTAAATGTTTATAACATGTTGCTATGTGTACCATTTCTGGTACACGGCTGAACATTATTATCGAGCCACATGTACCATATAAGGTACATTCGATTCGTTGACATTAGTTACACCGTGCGCCAAAATGGGTACACGTAAATGTGATTTTCCTATGAGTTATGTTTGTGTGGCCTCCTAGTAATGTTTTAGTAAAAATAGCGAAACAAATTTATAATTTTTTAATATTTTAATCAATATTTTTATTAATGACATGTTTTACTGTAATATAACAATTAATAACAATATTTTTTTTTTATTTTATTTTGTAACATAATCATTTTTTTTAAATTTTATTTTGTAACATTTTATTTTTATTTTTTTTTGTATGCATGAATTTGAAAAAAACAATCCAAACAAAAATAGGAATCACATTTAGGACAAATCGTTGATACGCGAGAGGTTTTCTTTCTTGCTATCTGCGTTCCTGTATACAAAAATGTATTTATTTAATACAATAAAATATAACAATTATATAATATAATGACCATTCAAATACTAAAAGCATAAACTAAAAAGCTTATTTTATGATTATTGTGGGTATAGCGTATTGGACAAACATTGTAATAAATTGTATTAATTGCTTGGCAATACAACAGTGTACCATATATGGTACACATGGCAGTTAACCTGTTAAAAATAATATTTGAGACCTACTATTTTCACAGAATATTTAAATTAACTTCTTATAGACAATAACATGGTAACATTTTAAAAATATTCTGGCAATTTTCCAGGCTATTATTATAGACATTTATACTTTTGAGTTTGTTTTGTTTTTATTTGGTGTTATGTAGATAAAATTGTTTTAGATATACTTGAAAATTCCTTAAAATGAGGTTCGTCATAAATTGTACATAATAATAAAACAAATGTCGAGTCTTTTTTTTTTATAAGCATTCAAAGTTCGAATTTATGTGATTATAATTTGTTTGGGTAAGTTAAAATAACCAAAATTTTAATACAATGTTCTTTATATTTTTTTCGATCTATTTTTAACGATAATAGATAGGTACCTATATACAATATTTTCTTTGGGATTTTTTATTATTATTATTTGTTTAGTGGCGGTAGCTATACGTTCTCCGAGATGTGTATTGCGCGGCGAAACCATGTAAATCCACGACATCCGGTCACCCGCGGTTAGCGACGCAAACGACAGACGACTACATTATAATACGACATATATTATTTTACTCGGGTTATTGGATATAAGGTTTCGACGGTCTCATATCGAAAAATAACATTGGTTTTTGGCGAGAGAATAAACATATCTGAATTGACGTGATGCAGGAGCGACAACAATAACACACGCGAGAGACCATACGACGATTATGAATCGTTCTTTTATATTATATTATTATGCTTGATAGACGTCCTAGGGTCACGAATATTATTTTAATAGGCTCTGTGGAACGTAAAAATACGTACAAATGTCCGTGTTCTTTTGTTTTATTACAAGCTCACAAATAAAATTTTTAAAAATATCGCTACAGTCATAATGGACACATAATGGAAATCGAATAAAATCTTTTCAAATTTTTGGAAATAATTTAGTAGGAAAAAGATATGAATACTAATATCAGTCTTGTATGAGAACATTAAGTTTTAGCAAATATTCATAGAGAAATACTAATTTAGAGGGACGTTAAAAACGTGGAAATCTATAAAATTGTACTAATATTATTATTTTGGTTTATTCGGTGTCTATTGAACCATCCCATTATTGGACTCATAACCAATTTTCAGCTATCCGTTTCCGAAATCATCCAACTCAGTCCACTTCTAAAGCTTCCACATGCTTCTTTTCCCATTTCATCCTCGGTATAAAATTGTAAGTTTTGGATTTTCCGTAAATGTCCAGTCCATCGCCGTCTCCCTTTCTTGATGACGACCTTTAAAAAATTATTTTTGCCTAACGTTAAATGTTGCAGTAGAGCCCTCTGTTTTTTCTTCGTCTCATACTCCATTATGTTATTCTTTACTGGTACAGTGATCTTTCCCTGAATATTTGGCTTTTGAGTACCAAAAATGTCTGTTGAACTCGACGTCCGAATTTCAGATTCGCGTGTATACAATATTGCTGGTCGAATTAAACCTCCGTTTAGCTTGTTTTAAGCTAAAATCGTCAAATATCAAACCACACATAATATTATAAAAGCAGTGGTATAATGATGACGGAACGATTGAAAGTGCCTATACGGTTTTTCGAATAATATCATGACGTTATAGCGATAACGGTGATGGTATATCCAATTTTTTTTTTTTTTTGATTTTACGTTCATAAATCAAAATTATATAATAGCTAACAAGATATATTTATTTATTTTTTTTTTTTTTGGCCCGCAGCTCCGGTCGATGATGTTTTCGTCACCATATATACGTATGTACACGCGTTCACACTTAAAAATCTCGTCTCTATATTATACAAACTGCCGGTGTGGCGACGTATAGTAACGTCGTACAATGTATAATATAAAATACTCGTGTTATACGTATCGGGGGATGACGGCGAAAACGCAATCTCCGACACCTTCCAAAAAACCGCCCCCCCTCGTACATATACATGTATATATATACAGTCTTAGGTACTCGGTCGGGGCAGCTGTCTCGTTAAGGGTGTTATTTACGAGCGCACGTAGGTAGTTATTACCGGACTATTGTAATAGGATGTTATTATCATGGTACAGTCGCCGTCGCCGTCGTAAATTTTAAAACCTACTTGCATCGCGGGATACGTTTTTTGATTTTCCGAATGAGTATATTTTCAGGTATAGGCACCTATGTATAAAACGTAATTTTTATCGAGCACGCGTATCTCGCGACTGACCGCGCTCTCGAACGTATACCTTATAGGTCCGGAGATTAACGCGTCTGATTGTTTTCTTAAATTTATTACTTTATTATAGACAAGCACTGTTTTTGCCGTGCCACGATACAAAGATTGACAACATACGATATCGTTTTCTAAACGAGGCGGCCGGCGCAAAAGAAAAAAAAAGAATCGATAATTAAAATTCCTCATCGTATCTTCTTCTCTCGTGGTTTCAGACTTTAACACCATATAAATCGTCCACACTAAATGTTCCCAATTTCCCCTATCTATAATATAATGTTACTTTCTTCCATATTTTCTACTCCTGGCTTTACCTTCATTCGCTCTATTTTCCCATATTAGTCTCATCGTTCCACGCGGTCCTTTGCCCCGTGGTGGATTTTCTTTTTCTAGCACCGCTATCAGCAACGATCCCTCTTTTACGTCACACATATTCTACCTACTTGAGTCACTTTTTTGGAAATATCTTCTAAAATATTTGGGCGCTGATAGAGCTGCAAATTCTCTGCTCTCCAGTACTTACGTTTTTACGTGATTTCCCTGTGTAAATTGTTTTAAAACACAGATCCAAGCGTTTTAATTCCTACTACATACTTATCTTATAACGATAGAAAAATATCGCGTTTATCTCGATTCAATTAAGAATTTTGTTTTATATTTTTTCCCGCGTCGCCGGTAAGAATATGAGGGGTTACCTTTACCGTCTGTAGTCGTGTCACATCAGAGCAAATATCGTCGGATTTCATTTTAACAATATTATATTTTATAAGTGGCACGTAAAGGAAATGGCAAAAAAAAAAATATAATTCGATCCATTAACCGAGAGTAAACAACTCATATAGCGGCAGTAGTGTGCGGCGTTTAAATGAAATTCTATACTTTTACTCGACAACGTTATATATATTATATATATATATATATATATACATACATTTGAACAAGAAACCGGGTTTCCTGGGCGACTTCCGACCAGTTTTCGGATGATGGAAAGAGAGTACCTGCCCATATAATATTATCCGAGTATACCTGTACAAGTATATAAGAGACGGGGGAAAAAACAACTAGATTTCATACCCTGGGAACGGAGAGCACACACACTGCCAACACAAAGCATCCGATAAAATAATCTATCTTTGGGTGATGCGAGTGGTTCACAGGTAGTTACCGTCGGTCTGTATATCATAAGGAATATGCAGTGTACCTACGGGTAGCTCTACTATGGGTAGGCCGCGGACGAAAATGAAACGTATAATGTAACATAAAATATAATAATATAGAGGCGGTACACACATTTACGTCCGTGAAGAAAACGTTTTATGTCGCGAGAAATATAAGTATACAATGACATACAATGGAATATTTTGAGAATTCGCAGACACCGCAGCAGCCAATGATAATAATTGTAGGTATAGATATATTTGCGACACACTATCATGCAAAATGTCTATAGGTACAATGAAACGAAAACGGACGGATATTATATCATAAATAATAGGTACGAAATTCTGTCTTGAAATTTCAGTAACGTTTCGACAATCGATTACTATCGAAAGCTTATCGCACACTCCGATCCAAAGCTAGGCTAAGTTAAAAGTTAAGTTAATTTCAACTTATTAACTTAACTTACCAGTTTTCTATTTTAATTAACTTAACTTTAACTGAACTCATTTGCCTCTAGATAGAAATCATGAGACAAGTTAATTGCATCCGGTATTCTGATATGAAGTCTATAGGCTATGAACAGAAAAGAGTGGAGGTCCAGATTTGCAGCGATAATATACGACCTTTAATGAGAAGAAGGCGTTTCAAGACTTTTTATAATTCGCATTAAATATTCTAAACATTCCGTTAATATCAAACAACTCGGCTGTTTAAAAATATTGGAATATTTATTTTATTTTCCACAAATTGACAATCCCCGGCAATAAAATATTATGTAATATGGACCTACCAAAAATAAAAATAAAATGGCCTTTTTGATTATTTATTCGAATATATAAATGCCTTCGAGTTGTATTTTGAATGAGTATAATTTTATTATTGATGGATATACCAAAAACCCATTTAAATCGAATACACAAACCCTCTTAAAATGTAAATATGTATTATTACTGTATTTTTTTAGTTTAGTTTTTTAGATAACGAAATAATATAAAACCATATATTCTTACCATATATTTCCAACATTTCTTTTTTTTTACTATAATTTTTTTCCTTCGTTGTTTCCCCGTTCTGATCCCTTCAATCGTATATGTATGTATAAAATCATCGACGGGTGGCAATAATTGCGGACCTCATATTATATTATTACATACGCGGACCGTCTATAATCTAATCGGAGAGGGTGTGAATAATGTATGGAATCATGTTGAATTAAAAAAAAATAAAAAAAAGTATACACGCCAACACCTCCCGTGTGTAATGCAGTGCAGCCGCATCGTAAGACCTTATGGGGTAATAATTTTAAATTAATTTAAATTACTCTACGACGACCGCTGCAGGCAATGTGGCAGTGCTGTTACAGCAGGACTTATTGGTATTACCGCCGTGTTTAATAAAAAGTAAAAAAAAAATCCTAATAAATAGTAATTTTTTTCTTTTAAGCGATAAATCTAATACTTATTTCGGAAAATAATTTCACCTTTTTCGGTAATGCCTACATGAGAATACATAATAAAACAATACGGGCGCTTACACGTCACGTTCATCGTTCAAACACCTTTATAATAATATGATGTGTGAGGGGTGACGCTATATAGTATCATAATAATAATATGTATTATTTGATAAATTTGTGGTTTTTATAATAATACAGGAACGTGGCTTACGGTCCGTATAACATTATGAACGTACATTGCACATCGTACTACCATAAGGTTTGGTACTTAAAATGTATGTAAGTAAACGAAAAACATACTTAACAATAGGTACGCGTTATGACGGTTGAGTTTGCCGCCCATTATCTTCACGAATTTTACGTTCAAACATAACGGGTGTGTTTTTACACCCCCCCCCCAACCGAGTTGTAATATAAGTATGATAATATTTAAACAGTGTATACCTATAATGTTATGTGCATCGATGATCTATACCAGCGTTTCTTAATGTTATTTCTTTATCACTGCTGAAACTTTTTTTAATGTCCAATTTTATTGTGGAACTCATAATTTGTTTCAATAGTTCATATAACATTCGTGAAGATTATTTACAAAAATAATAACAACTAGTTCAAATAATAATCGTATAATAAATAATATTTTCAAAATCAACCGAACGTTCTTAATATAACAGTCAAACCGACATTTTAATTTTAAGGAGTTGCATTTTATTATTACAAATATACCTAGTATCTACTTAATATGTGTCTTTATTGATGATAGTTAAATAATTATTATCATGTTAAGTTCAGGATCAAGTCTGTTGTTGTACTTCGTTTTTGCCGATACTTAAGTTGAGAACATCTTTTCACACATATAACTAGTAACAAACAATAAAAGTGCCAACACGGATGTTTTTAACAGACAGCAGTTGAGAATATTCATCTTTAAGACTGCACCGAAATTCCTCTAATGGCATTAGTTTAAATTTATCTAGATATGATGAATCAGATATAATTTCAATAAAAATTAATACTCCTTTGTTGCCATGGTCGAAAGTTGTGCTTCGATAATAAAAGGGTTTTCAATCCAAAATTAATTTTGATATTTAATTTGCTGTTCATTTAGAAAATACTGATTAAAAGATTCACTCAAACCATTCTGGTGCCGAATAATTTCTTTTTTTAAAAAGCATTTTATTATTGGAAAGCAATTAAACTCGAAGGAGCGCATGCAAATTTTCAAAAATTCTAACTTTTTTTTGAAAACAAGAATTTTATTGTGAGCATAATATATACATTTACTTGTATGCTCTGAAGGGTGAAATTAAGTTCATTGATCTTTATACAAATGTCAGTTAGATAGGCATTTGAGTAGCCAAGTTTTATCTAGAAATCGATCTTAAAATTCAAAATGGTGTTTTTAAAAAAAATGTTCACGGTACCTGTAAATGATTTTTAAAACACAGATTAAGAAACACTGATTTATGCAAAGATAATTGCTACTGGCGCTGTATGTACGTCCAAAGATGTGCGTTTCGATTAATTATTTTAATATGTATTTCATTCGATTTTATCTAATTGTGTGCATTACCACCAACAAGAACTATAATTTGAACTTAACAACATATTGCTGAAAATTAATATTGACCACAGTAATCCCCTTAAAAAATTACCCGAAATTGGGAAAACAGCGAAAAAGGAAATTGATCGTATACATTTGCATACAAACTATAAGCAGTAAGATTTTTAATTGAGAGACGTGGATAAAGAATATAAAAATATATTAAAATGCAAGTGTTACGAAAGTTTCTTAAAATAATATTTTTGAATTCCTATACTTAATTGAACAGTAATTCTACACTAAAAACTACACTGTATTCTAGATTAGATTCTAATTCTACACTATCTATATTTAGAACAGACAGATTACAGTGCAATAGCCTCTATTATAAGTGAAAATTCGAGAATTATTATATAAATTATTATAATAAATCTATTAACACTTAAAAAAAAAAATAGATAAAAATTAGGATGCAGAGGGTAATTAAATTTATACACTGTGTGCAATGATAAAACATTGCCAACGAACAAAGATTCTGAGCGGAGTGGTATTTATCATGTTTTCCCTTGTTATTTAAGTATCTCGGAAACCAACAAAAATAAAATTTAAAAAAGAATGAAGTGCCGCAAATCTCTATACAATGTTTCAAATAAAGTACCATCAGATGGAAACTTCGCGTTTTTCAGGCTGTAGCAAGAAAAAAATTTGAGCATTTTTACTAACTGAAAAATAATTTTCCTAAAAAGAAAATTTTATATTTTTTCATATTTTTAAAATATTCATTCAGGAACCATTTTGTTATATTTATTTACGTCTCTTATTCGTATACATTGTTTTTATTTCAGATTTTGAGGGGAATGAGGATTGAATTGGATTTCATTGGTTTTGTAATAATAATAATGTTTATTTTGTATTTATTATGTTTTTTTTTGTCCATAGTGTAAACAAATTTGACTAGAAATCTTGCTCCGAAGTGTCAAGCATAGCACTTTTTCGGAAAGAGAATTTTCTTGGAGCGATACGTCATTTTTTGATTTTGCTAGGGGTTTTCATAATAAATGAGAAAAACCGCTAAAAAACGTAAGAATAGCGCGAAAATGTACGAAAATAATGCTTTCATTATTTTAAATTTTTATTGTCATTCAGTGAAAAATATTCGAATGGACTTGAAATTTTGACAGAGACCTTATATTTGCCTTTTATAAACGTGGTCAAATTTTCAAAACATTTGAGCCATTTTTGAGCTATAAAACATTATAATTTTGCGAGTTT